GTTGCCCAGGCTGGAGTGCAGTGGCACGATCTCAGTTCACTGCAACCTCCGCCTTCCGGGTTCAAGCGATTCTCCTGCCTCACTCTCCCAAGTAGCTGGGACTACAGGTGTGTGCCAGCATGCCCAGCTAATTGTTGTGTTTTTAGTAGACGGTGTTACACTGCATTAGCCAGGATGGTCTTGATCTCTTGACTTCATGATCTGCCTGCCTCAGCCTCCCAAAGTGCTGGGATTACACATGAGCCACCTTTCCTGGCCAGGAATGCAGAATTTCAAGCCTCACCCCAAAGCTACTGAATGTCAATCTACATTTTAATAAATACCCAGAGGATTCACATGCACATTGAAACGTGAAAAGTCCTTATTTCATCCACTTTTATTTTTACAAATTGGACCAAGGCTGTATAGTTTACTCTTGTAATACCATGACTTTTCAATTCTTCTTCTTCAGTCTGCTTCAGCCACTGATTCCCATTTCATTCTGAACTTTGTTAACATTCAGAACTGTGCCAAGTCCGAAATAAATCCAGACCGTTTGGTGAGCCTTATCTTCCAATTCTCTCACTCATGGTCAATATATCATTTATTTGGCCACCTTAGTGCCTCTGACCCTTTGGTCTTTTGACTTTCTCCTGGTATATCTACTCCTCTGTTTTCACTTTCTTCCCATTTAGATTCTGTGTTTTATCACTCTGAATGCTCTTTTGATAATATCTTCTTTTGCCTCATTTATTTTATCACCCCTGTGCAGGAAGACCCCTGACATGTTAATCCTTCTGTGTTCTTTTTTTTTTTTTTTTTTTGAGATGGAGTTTCGCTCTTGTTACCCAGGCTGGAGTGCAATGGCGCGATATCATGTCCTCAACATGAAAATGTCCAGATACCGGCTCACCGCAACCTCCGCCTCCTGGGTTCAGGCAATTCTCCTGCCTCAGCCTCCTGAGTAGCTGGGATTACAGGCACGCGCCACCATGCCCAGCTAATTTTTTGTATTTTTAGTAGAGACAGGGTTTCACCATGTTTACCATGGATGGTCTCAATCTCTTGACCTCGTGATCCACCCGCCTCGGCCTCCCAAAGTGCTGGGATGACAGGCGTGAGCCACCGCGCCCTGTCCTCCTTCTGTGTTCTTAACACCTGTAACTAACTAGGTCTAGTGAGGCTGGAGGGAAGAAAAATCATAAATGCCCCTGATTGCAGTAATCTTAAATTGAGAGCAGCAAACCTCAATTGTGCCCTTAAAATCATCTGGAAATCCTGCGTTGCCTGGGCAACTCTCTGTTGTCTACTTTATTCAGGCTCCTGGCCTCTCTCTGCTCCTCCTTTACTCTCAGCAGATAACTCAGCTGCCTACTTCACAGGGAAGAAAGAGAAGCTATCAGATGGGAATTTCCTCAACTCCCCAACAAACCCATAAATTCACCTATATCCAACCTTTTCCATTACTCCTCCTCTCCATTAGAATGGAAGAAATGCTTGCCCATCTCTCATATTTTATGTCTCATTGCATTCCATGATCACAGAAGTCTCACTATTCTGATTATATTTTTTCTTTGAGAGGCATTTAAACATGATGAGTCCAACCATGTTAAAAACAAACAAGCAACAAACAAACAAACAAAACTTGCACTAAGCCCATGTCTCTTTCTGGCTACCACACCCTCATCATACCCTTTGTAGAACTCTTGGTCAGCTATACAGCCATTATTCTCCTTCCCCTTCCCTAAAAGCAGAGCCTCCCTCCAAACGTAAAGGAAAAACACACCATATAGTCACTTTCTGAGACTCCCTTGCAGCTGTGGGAAGGGATATGAGTGTTTAGGCCAATGAGTCATTAGGGCAAGTCCACTGGAGGCTTTCAGGAAGGTTTTCTCCCTGGTAAGAGAGAGACCTATGCCGGGCGCGGTGGCTCACGCCTGTAATCCCAGCACTTTGGGAGGCCGAGGCGGGTGAATCACAAGGTCAAGAGATCGAGACCATCCTGGTCAACATGGTGAAACCCCGTCTCTACTAAAAATACGAAAAATCAGCTGGGCATGGTAGCACGTGCCTGTAATCCCAGCTACTCAGGAGGCTGAGGCAGGAGAATTGCCTGAACCCAGGAGGCGGAGGCTGCGGTGAGCCGAGATCGTGCCGTTGCACTCCAGCCTGGGTAACGAGAGCGAAACTCCGTCTCAAAAAAAAAAAAGAGAGACCTATGAGGAGAGTTACCTTCCTAGACATTTTCATGTTGAGGACATGATATCTGGAGATGTTTCCAACATCTTATGTGCTGAGTCTGTCTCGCAGACTCTGGCAGAGCGATGAATGAAAGGAGCACTCAGACACAGGTATGCAGTGAAAGAGCACTAGGGGATTGCCCACAAAGTGAACCGTCTTGATAAGCTGGCACTGCTCGCTTTTATTCAGTACAGACATAATGCCGAAAGCCTGGAGCCAACACAATCTGTGGTAAGTAACCTTGTTGTTCCCACTTTCAGGGAGCAGTCTCTCATGCGGACGATCAAAGGTCAGTTTCCAAACAACATAAACAAATCTATTTAGATAAACCCCCCTACATTTCCTTGCACCTACTTCTCACCCTGTGCTTCAGGGTAAGAGAACAGCTGCCTTCAGCTTATTCTCCCAGGACACTTTGCAAAGCCTTCTGACCTTTCAAAATGTCTGCTTCTTTCCCTATAGCTTCTTTTACCACTCTGACTTATCCCC